AGTTCAGAACAGTCTTGAGGGACGTTATATGAGTGTTGGCCATTGGTCAGAGACAACAATGAAACCAATAATACATGTTTTGTTACTTTATTACCATTATTTTGTCTTATTATTTTCTTATTTATTATAAGTACATCTTCCTGTCACGAAGCTGTGTGGTGGGTTACTTGAGCCATGGTCTTGCAGAGGACAACTGCTATCTGCTCCAGATGGCAGCATGATATAGGACGAAAGAGGGTGACTGAACTGACGGCTTTGTCCACCAGTTGTGTCACTTAATGATTGGATGTCAAATGAAGATAATTTCTAATTTACAGGTTTGTTTGAGAATTAGAGACAACATTTGTGAAATGCCAGGCACATGATAGGCAAATTAAATGGTAGCTATTATTGTAAAGTCATTGTAGGTGGGGTAGTACTAATTCCTTGAGCTGAATAGATTTTTGAGGGACCTTGCTATTTTAAAGATTGTTTCAAGTCTGTTTGGAAAGAGTGATGACTGAAGTAAATTATGTGCAAGTGTTTCAAGTTGTAGCTTATTAAGAAGCCGCTGACCTCAGCTATCAGCCTTTAGACTCAGACTTCAACATCAAACAGTAACTTCTTTGTGTGGTGGATGTTTTCCAGAGCAGATATAAAGTATCTCCTGTTAATGTTTAGGGAACTTCCTAATTGCATCTGGAGACCGAATTTCATTTTGAGAAGCTATTCTTCAATTTTCCATGTAATCTTAGTTACAAATAAATTTGCAGTGCTTTAAAATTTGCTGCCATGCTGAGTAATACATCTAGAAGACATTTTAAAATTAAACTTTGGACATGCATATAAAATTTATATATAAGTATATATACATACATAAATATATAGAGAAGTTATATGTAACTGTATTATCATGGACTCTTTCCATACATCTTCTTTCACTCAAGTTTGTGCATGTTATTATGGGGTGACTATAGTTCACTCAGACCCATTGGTGTATATTCCATGTTATTATGGGGTGACTATAGTTCACACCATTGGTGTGTATTCAGTACGACTGACCCACAAGCTGTTTATTTATCTTACTGATGATGGACATTTGGTTTGTTTCTGAGTTTGGGCTAATATGAAAGTGTTTCTATGAACTTATTTGTACACACCACTTTTTAAAATCTGAAAGTTATTTTGCTGTACACCTCTGAAAATTATCTGCTATGGTTACATTTTAGTATAATGATGATTAGATCTCTACTTTCCATTTATTGCTAAGTTGGTCCCATTTGTAAATCCAGTGGATTTGGAGACTGGCTTGGTCATACTATTTTCAAATTAGTACTGATGTAAAGGGATTTTTGATGAAGACAAGAAAATTGAACTTAGAGCTTTTTTTTTTACTTTATTTTTTGTTGTAACAACATAACATGGCTTTTACTGACCACCAAAGCTTTTCTTTAATGAATAAGAACAGTGTGAGGTAGCTTTAGAAATGTTGAAAGTATTATATTTTTAAATTGCTTGCGTGAACGTTATTAGAGTAATACTGGAATAAGTCTTGATGAGTGCTGTTTAAAATTTTTTCTTATGTAAGAAAAAATTTATAATTTTTTCTGTAATTCTCTTCTGCCTTTTCCATGTCTTTTTTTTAAAAAAGATTTTATTTATTTATTTGAGAGAGAGAGAGAGAGAGAGAGGGCACATGTGTGAGTGGGGGGAGGGGAAGGGGGAAAATCTGAGGCAGACTCCCTGCTGAGTGCAGAGCCTGACACAGGGACCTCGATCCCATGACCCTGAGATCATGACCTGAGCCAAAATGAAGAGTTGATGCTCAATCAACTGAGCCACCCAGGCACCTCTATTTTTTCTATTTCATTTTGTAAATGAGTACCGGATTCCTTGATGCTCTTACACAACTGGAGCTGCTTCTATTGCAGTACCTGCTCTATGAGACGGTGGATTTCTCAGAGGCAAAGATCGGGTCTCATTCAGCTCATCCTTTTATGTGCAGTGACTATCCTCATGGGAGAACTTTATAAATGGTTATCGGGTAATTAGGTTACTGTCAGATTTAGCCAGTTTCTAATTTAAAAACAAGCAAAACAACAACAGCCCCCAGAAGGCAATTACTGGATGACATTTTAGTCTAGTTGTTAAATGCTCATTTTTCAATATTTTAGAGTTTTATATAACACCAGGAAAGATTCTTCTGTAATAAATGCGTACACAGAGTCATCCAGTACCAACTGCAGCTTTTAGGCCATTCTTCTATGACTACCATTCTCATCCCTCCCTTGGAAGGTGGGGCAGAGTTAAGCCCCATTGACTCTAATGGAAACTTAGAACCAGTCCATGGGGTAGAACCCAATGAGGCTCGGGAAAGGGAATTGTTGCTGGGAGAGGACATGATAGTAGTTGGAGCCAGGTTAGGGAATGCGTGAAAAGTTCACAAAATTTAGTGTAGGTTCCATGTTCTTTAGGTACCAGTGGGCAGAGAGAGTTTGGGGGTGCACTGCAGCTCCCAGAGTGAATAAGGGTAGTAGCCAAATTAGAAATGGGCACAAAACACAGTCTATTCCAGTGGAGAGCAGGCCTGGGCATGGAGAGGTCTGAGCCTTGCTCTTCTCCCAGCCAGCTATGTGATTGTGTACAAGTCACTGCCACTTCTGGCCTCAGGATTTTTAGTCTCAAGAAGAAGGGAGTTGGCCTGCATGAGCCATCATGTCGTTTCTGTACTAGGTAAGACTCCAGTTGCTCAGTTCTGTGCCTGTCATGCCAGAAAGGAACACCCTTCCCCTCTGATTCCAGGGGCACATCCATAGAAAGAAACAGGCTAAAGTTGAGCAAACAGCTGGAACATTTAAAGAGCCAGGTTGGGGTCATTCAGTTTTCCATCCAAATCTCACCTTTGCCTTGAGTATTGTGTCTCTAGTCTTCTTTTATAGTAGTGAACAAATAGCCAGAGCATCTACTGCCTTTTCCTTTGGTGCCAAAGATTTTCATCAAGTAGCAACCTTGATTATATGACCAAGGCTTTAAAAAATATGAGACCACTTTTTATCCACATTTTATGATTTAACTCAACCCTGTGCAATCCCTCTTGACTCAGGCCACCTTGAATTTATCTGATTTCTCCACTTTCTTGGTAAATTTGTTACTGAAGGGGTAATGCCAGTCACTGTTGTAGAGTGAACATGTTGGATGTGAAGATATTTTTCCACATAAAGAATGTAGATTCCTAAGGTGTGAAGCATTATTGAATTTCCAGGCACACTCAGGACACATGTTTCTTGGAAAACATCTACCTGAACCTAGCTTTACCAGCACAAAATGAGAAATATATGTCAAGTACAAATTTGGCAGGAAAAAAAATGTAAGCATAAAAATGGGTGCTAAGTTGAACAGGGGGAAAACACCAAAATAGAGCAGGCACGTGCCTGTCCTACACTGAGGGCAACTTAGTAGAAATAGTAGATACAGCAGAAAGAGCACTTAGTTTAGGCCAACATGTGTGCTGATTCTTCGATTCTTTTCTCATCTGTAAAAAGGGAATGACAACTTCTATCCTGTAAAGTTGTAGGGTTAAAGCTAATATATGTAAAACATATGTCTGGCACATTTTAAAAAAGGTAACTGTTATCTTTTTGAATTAGGTTTTATAGACTAAAAAAGTTGATGTTAAGCTGGGAAGAGGCTAAAACCAATGTACACCATTCAATTCAATGCAATAATGATTTCTTAATGCTTTACTGTGTGCCACATGTCTGATGATAAAAAACACACATGGGGGGCTTACATTTACATCTTGGAAATACACAATATCCATAGACAAAAAGATAAACGAGAAGACATTTCTTTTGAGATGGTCCGAGCTGAGATCTACGTAAGATTTTCTTGATTTTCTTGATACTTCTGGGACAGATTATTGGTGAGGGGCAAGGAATCTGTCCTGAAGGAGTCACTCCCTTGCTTTGGTTCCATATCACCTGTGGTTCCACACTGTTAAGAGAAAGTATTAAACTTAATGACTTCTAAACTCTCAACATCTTTCAAGATCAATGATCTCTTGAACAATAATATCAATGACTGACTGAAGCACCACCTGAAGGCCCACAGGTTGCATGTGGAATGAGTCAAAAGGAGGTGAGAAGGTGACAAAGGACATGACCCATGACAGTTTGCTGGGTATCCTCAGTCGTAGGATGTTGGGAGAATGTGCTGGCAAAGGACTTAAGCAGAACCACGTATAGCCTGTGGAGAAGGAGGTGGAATAAAGTTTTCTTGGTTGCTGACTTGACCATGAGGACACGGTTGCCTATGACTTTGTTTTACCTGAATAAAGGAAGTTCTACCACAATAGAATCATGTCCCCCAAAGACATGTTTAAGACCTAATCCCTGATATCTGTGAATGTGCTCTTATTGGGAAATGGGGTCTTTGCAGATGTAATTAAGTTAAGATGAGGTCATACTGGATTAGTGTGGGCCCTAATCCAATGACTGGTGTCCTTATAAGAAAGGGGAAACGTGGACTCGCACAGAAGACACAGGGAAGAACACCATATGAAGATGGAGGCAGAGATTAGTGATGCCTCTATAAACCAGGGAACGCCAACGGTTGCTAGAAACCACCAGAAGTTGGGAGAGAGGCAGGAAACAGATTTTCCCTGACAGCCTCCAGAATGAACCAATCCTGCCAACACCTTGATTTTGGACATCTGGTCTCTCAAACTGAGGGAAGATAAATTCCTGTTGTTTAAGCCACCTAGTTTGTGGTAATTTGTTACGGCAGCTCTAGGAAACTAATTCACATCATTAAATGAAAATAGACGTCTGTCTGTATCAATATCAATATGGACATCAATATGTATATACCAGGATGATGACGACCTTAGTTTTTGAGTTTTTAAAAACATACTGAATCATTGTATATGATTATATCTCATGTATTTAAAATGCGAACTGTTTATTTATCTTCCTCTGATCATCATGTTTTCTCTCTCTGTTTTGTTTTGTTTTTGTTTTTAGACTGTCATCAATCTCAGGATGGATTCTCTCGTGGCAGCCAACAACAAATTTTGCTTTGATCTTTTCCAGGAGATAAGCAAAGATGATCCTCATAAAAACATTTTCTTCTGTCCTCTGAGCCTCTCGGCTGCCCTTGGCATGGTCCGCCTGGGGGCCAGAAGTGACAGTGCACAACAGATCGACCAGGTGTGGATCCAGTGTCTCTGGGTCCACTCTCAGAGTGAGACCCTAGGCCCTTTGGCAAGCCACGCTGCTCACTGAGCCTGAGGCTCGCGGGGAGGCTGCATCTGCCCTGGAGTTTTCATTTACATCCCACCTTGCTCTCTCTTCAAGGCTCAGTTAAACCTCTGCCTCCTTTATGACCCTTCTTCAGCCTTCCCGCCTCATAGTGTTTCTCAGTCACCTTCTCTGTCTCCGTCTGTCTGTCTGCATGTCTGTCCCCCTTCCACTCTATAATTATCCATACAGATATCACTAGCAATATTTTTAATGTCTATGTGTTTTCTCTCTTTCCATAAGTAAATCTTTACGTAAGCATCAATTATGTATCCAGTGGCTCAAGATCTTGGCGTCCTCCTTGACCTCTCTTTCTTTCTCACTTCACATCAAACTCCAAAAGGCTTTTCGCTTGATACACATCCAGGACACAGGTGCTTCCCGCTGTGTCCCTGAGGTTTGACTCACCACCATCCTTTCTAACCTGGATGCAACTTCCTCATGGACTTCCTTGCTTCTGCTGACAGTCTGTTCTCAACCTGGCTGCCAGAAAGATCCTTTGAAAACCTCATTCAGAGCCTCTTTCTCATCATTTCAAAACCTGGACTTCCAATTTAGCAATGATAGAAGCCCGAGTCCTTACAATGGCCCATGAAGTTCTAACATCTGAATTCCTGGCAACCATGTGACTCCCTCTATCACCCTGTCCCCTCCCCACTCCTCCAGCCACACTGGCCTCCAGATTCCTTGGGTAAGCATGCCCACTCCTGCCTTAGGGCCTTTGCTACACTCCCTTTGCCTAATGGTTCCCCGCCCCCGCCCCCCCCATAACTGATCTATAACTTACTTTCTCCTTCAGGACTTTGATCAGAGTTTACCTTCTCAACCAGGCTTACCTTGACTTCTCAATCTAATGTTACATCCTGACTCCCAGCCCTGTAAAATTCCCTCGTACCCTAGCTACTCTTCCCCCACATGGCATTTTCCATCTTCCAAGATAATGCATACAGTAATTCATTACTATGTGCCTCCCCCGCTAGAATATAATCCCACAGATGGTGAAAATCTTTGTCCTAGAATAGTGCTTGGCTTATAGTAGCCATCTGATACAAATTTGTAGAATGAATGAATGAATGAATGAATGTGACAAGAACAACTCCCCAAATAATCAACACCCTCCTGAGGTTGGTCTTAAAACTTCCCCGGATCTCACACACTGCACAGAGTTTGTGTGGGGACCCCACTATTGTCCCTAGTATGGAGGAGTTGAATTCTTGGATTAAGGTAGAATATGTTTGGGGTCATTCTGCTTTATTCATTTACTTTTATTGGGAATATTATTTCATTAGCGAAACTTAGCTTTAGAGTGTGATTGGCATCCTCCCGGTCAGGTTTCAGATGTTCTTTCTGCAGGCACTTGGGTTTTGCCTGCCCAGCAAAACTGTCCTGAGCAGTGCAAGATATATATTTATCTCCTACTTTTCTGCAGTGCTCTGGGTAGCTGTCTTTTGCTGTCCTCACTTGCTTTATCGATTGGAAGGTCTAGATCAGTGCTAACACAAATATAATTCAAATCCCGTATGTAATTTAAAAAAATTTAGCAGCCATAAGAAAGTAAAAAGAAATAGGTGAGACTAATTTTAATAAATTATGTATATTACTTAACTCAATACTTCCAAAATATCCTATCAACATGTAACCAAACAATTTAAGTGAGATATTTTACATTTTTTTTTCGTGCTAAGTCTTCAAAAATCCAATGTGTGTTTTACACTAACGTCTGGCTGGCTCAATAGCCACGTGTGTCTCACGGATACCTCGATATCCTTTTAGTTTGGTTGCATTCGTTCTTAAATGTGGACCCCGGGGGTAACATGCAGTTTGCTTTCTTCTATTCCACCTCACAACCAAGTCAAAAGAAACATCCACTACCCTTTGAACTGTTGTTGATTTTTTGACTATGGAATCACTGTCCCTGTCACCCTATGAAAACACTTCTGAAGCTGTTCAGACCTCCTGCTGTTTGTATTGTCTGAGAGACCCCGTAACTGTCCTCCCACAGGTACTACACTTCAATGAATTTTCCCAGAATGAACGAAAAGAACCTGATCCCTGTCTGAAAAGCAAAAAACAAGAAGCGCTGGCTGACAGCTCTCTGGAGGGGCAGAAAGAAACAGGGGAGTCTCTAACTCTGCAGGTGAGCCACCCTGAGCTCCTGTCCTTCTTCTTATGACCTGCTCATTCTGGTTATGCCATATTTGACAATGGTTACTTATCCCCAGACGTTAGGACCTGGCTGTCATCAGCAGCGACAACAATAGCAAGAATGCCATAGGACCTCCAATTCTTTTCTGATTATGTATCTTATATGTCGTTGGCTGTAAGCTAGTCTCCTAAAGAGTAGGATCTGATATCTTCTGCTCATGATGAAGACAGAGCAAAGCCCCATGACTCACCTCGTTTTTCAGGCCCCAGGTTCTCAGGACGGAGCATGGTTGAGGATGAAGGGTAGTAAGGGATAGGAATCAGCTGTGGGAGTCTTACTCGCTTTCTGTACCTTGGCCTGTCTATTTCATGGGGTAATCTACTGGTACACAAAGCTTTTATTGGTTCTCATACCAGGAGTGGGAAAGATATTTTCCAAGTTAAATATCCCTGTACCTTAGAAAGTTTAAGAGGAAGGTGGAGAGAAGATTGTCTTTTTCTTGTATCTTTTCGAATATAGAGAAAAACGAGGTGCACAGATCTAAAACACAGTGTGCACTGCTGAGTCCCCAGATGTATTGTTCCTGGATGACTTTGATACCAAGTGAGAGCCATGATCTTCCACTGGGACCTCTTCCCGCCCTCCATTCCTCTCTTCTTCTCACTTGCACCCCCACATGGTAACAAAGTGAAACGACAACGCGGTCTGGTGGCATTTTACTCTGCTGATCAGGTCACATTTTCTTTCTTCTTTTGTCAGGCCGAGTCTTCCAGTGATGAGAGTGGACTGCTCAGTTGCTACTTCGGGCAGCTTCTTTCCAAGATAGACAGGATCAGAGTTGATTACACCCTAAGTATTGCCAACAGGCTTTATGGAGAGCAGGAATTCCCCATCTGTCCGGTGAGTTCGGCGTGGCTGGTGATTAAAACTATCATATGGCATGCCATTTAAAAATCATCGAGTAGCTGGATTACTCACCTGGCACCTGGAACACAATCCTCTCTGACAGAAGGATATGCTGTGGACTGGGGGGGTTCCCCGGGGCCCACCTCTTTCTCTCCCACACTCTCTGTTGCCCTTCTCCCAGTTTTCAATTGAGCAGTTTATGAGGCCCATTGTGGGTGGAAAGAGGGTCCTGTGACTAATAGCTTTTGGAGCACCTGTGGGTTTGGTAATGGCCTTCTCTCTTGTGACGGTCTTTCCCAGCAAAGGTGCCTGGTAAATGCACTTGGTAGCTCTTCTTCCCGTCCCTCCCCCCTCCTCCCCCAGCGTTTCTCCAAAATCCCCTTTCATGCCACCATCAGGCCGCCCCTCAATAGAATTAAACTCAGCAGCACTGCGGTTTCGCAGAAGGAGATTGTGTTTGGAGCCAAAGGGCGCCCGGCTTGGCTCTGGCTGAGCAGCATGTACCTACAGCAAGACACATCAGCTTCCTCAGTCACCGCTGCAAGGAGCCACATACTTAGCAAAGGACATGAGGGGTGTGACCACAGGCAAATGTGTGTTGCCATTGGTTAGGCTGGTCTAGTGAGGGGGCGGGCTTAGCCTCCTTTGGCCAACATAAGTATGTTCTCTCAACAGTGGAAATGAGGTTTTAGATGCTGTCTTTTTTTTTTTTCACTAGCTTTATTGAGGTATAAATTCACATATCATACAATTCACCTATGAAAAATGTACACACCAGTGGTTTGGGCATATTACCTTGTAATTGTGGTAAAATATAATATAAAATGGCTATTTTAACCATTTTTAAGTATGCAGTTTGGTAGCATTGATCACATTCACAATGTTGTGTAAGCACCCCCCAATTTCCAAAATGTTTTCATCGCTCCAGAAACTCTGTAACCATTAGGTAGGGTTTTAATTCTTAAAAATAGAGGCATTTTATAGTTAAGCTTCTCAAATTACTCGATACTCATGTTGCAGTGTCTCCACAAATGGGATGTCCAAGGAAAAGGGTATCTGGTAGGAATGGGCTTGTGCCCTTGTAACTGTGGGCTGCTTCATGAATAGACATTCTTTTTTCTTTTTAAAAAAGATTTTATGTATTTATTTTTAGAGAGAGAAAGAGAGTGTGAGCTGGGGGAGGAGTAGAGGGGGAGGGAGAGGAAGGGGAAAGAATCTCAAGCAGACTCTGCACTGAACGCAGAGACGGATGTGGGGCTCCATCTCAGGACCCTGAAATCATGACCTGAGCTGAAACCAAGAATCAGACACTTAACCGACTGAGCCACCCAGGCATCCCATGAATAAGCATTCTATATCCTAAATTGTCACCACAGTGAGTGAAAAAGGCCTCTGGCTAATTAAGAGTGGAGATAGATAGACACCACGTGCATCCTGTTTAAATGACCATCTCTCTCATTAGGCTTCTCCTGACTGCCTCACACCTAACTATTAGCATGGTTATCTGATTTCATTGTACTATTTCTCTTTATTCCAATTTAATAGGACTACTTAGATGGTGTGATTCAATTTTATCACACAACCATTGAAAGTGTTGATTTCCGGAAGGACACCGAAAAGTCCAGACAACAGATTAACTTTTGGGTTGAATCTCAGTCCCAAGGTAAGAAAGACCAAACACATTGTAGCTGGTGTTCTTTTCCATTTAAAAGGAGAAAAGTCAGCCCGTGGTCTCAGATTGCTAGTCTGTCAAAACCAGGTGCTCACATACATGGGCCGTGTTCAAAGCCAGTTTTGTAGGCACAAACAGTTAAACGCTTACGCTGTGTTACTCCTTTGCTTCATCAGAAAAGGTAAAATCTTTCAGCCAAGCACGTGCCAGCAGGATGTTAACTATTTCCATTTTTTAAACAAAAGGTCAGTAGAAAGATTGTGAAGAGAATCTAGTTATTCAGAGGGAAATGGAAATAATAAAATCCCAATTTTTATCAACTTTTCACTAGGTACGTAGGTGTTTTCTGGATGAAGGGGTGTTTAGAGATAGTGATGAGTAGTGAAATTTAGAATTCAACATAAAATGGAATAATTTTCTAATATGAAACTCCCCTGTCTGGCCTTGTCTTGGGCACCCAAACTCCAAAATTATTTCTCCTTACTTGGTCCACGTGTCACAAAAATTCCCATTCCCTCAAGGTTCCATTCAGTTGCCAAGAAGAAATGCGTGTTCACTAAAAAAACTTATACTAAGGCACTAGTTAAATCTCCTGGAGTATTTTAAGTGTAGGTGATGTCAACATAATCTATTATTTATGGAGTTTACGTGGAAGTCTTGTGGTAGAAATCTCTACTCATCTTTAAGGACTTGGCATGCATTCAGGTAACCGATGGTTTGGTATTTTGCGGTGGAAAGAATGCGCCCTGCAAACGGATGATTGCCTGACAGCATGGGATTTTCCAGTCCACCTCAGGGCTGTGTTATGGTGGAAGGAGCCTCGGAGCTGGACCAAGAGCAGGAAGGCCCCAGGACCTGATCTCAGCCAGCCTTGCTGATTGTTGACCCTGTGGCCTTACCTCTTACTAGCTGTAGTGTATTCCTCTATAAGAGGGGACAACAATACCTACTTCTCATGGTTGACATGGGATGGCATGAGAGAGGACATGTGAAAGCCCCTATCGAATAGATTTTATATCCTGGCCTAGCATATTTATATGCATTTTTGTTTATATGTAAACATATACCTTTTGCTCTGATGAACACTCAAGATAGGAAGTTTACACAATAGTCTGTTTCTCCAGGAAGTTATAATTTAATCAGGTGGCAGAGTCTACTCTGAAAGATAAATCACGGGGTGGGTAACCTGGTGAAGGGTACGAAAGAGGACACGTGATGTGATGAGCACTGGGTGTTATACACAACTAATGAATCATTGTACACCACATCAAAACGAAGGATGTACTATATGTTGGCTAATTGAACTTAATAAAAAAAAAAGAAAGGTAAGTCGTAGCATTAGATGTCTAATGGCAAGTTCCAACCACAGTGTCTCAGGGAATGGAAGGAAATTCCCTCAGTTTCAGTGATTTAGAATGGGCCCCTCTTGGGGTTGAGTGACAGTGTGTCTCCCCATCATACCCCCCTCCCCCTCCACCGCATCCAGGACTGTGAGTGGTGTAATTTTCTTGGGTTAGTCCTTGAATCAGACATGCCCTAGCCTTGGGGATGGGAAGCGGCATGAAGGAAAATCTGTCTACATGAATACTTCTGGCACAATTCACATTCAGGATATTCTCTGAAACATTTCTTAAGGTAAAATCAAGGAACTCTTCAACGAGGAAGCTATTGACAGTGCAACTGTACTGGTGCTGGTGAATGCTGTTTACTTCAAGGCCAAATGGGAAACATATTTTGACTCTAAAAACACAGTTGATGCGCTTTTCTCTCTAAATGAGGTATGATATTACAGCACATGGTTTTCTAGATATTGCACTCTTAATTTCCACTAAGAAGTATGATTTGCAGTATGTACATTCAGCTTTAAAACTTAGGTCTCCTGGTGACATACAATATAATAAGAATATTTTGTTATTAGCAAAAATTAGTACCTGAAGTTCATCGACCATCTTGGTGCCAGGCACTGCCAGGAGCATTTTCCATTCATTATTTCACTTGTTCGCTAAAATATCATTATGAAAATGGGTGTTATTGTTATTCCCTCTTAGGAGTTGAGGGGAAAGAATGCAAAGGTTAGATTACTTAGCTCAGTTCATGCATTAGCATTCACATCTGTGAGTATTTGTCTCAAAAACCAATGTTCTAATCCATCAGACTGTAGAATGGAGGAAAGGGAAGGTTGGGAATCCCAGCCCAGCACCTGTCAGCTGTGTTGCTTTTGCAAGTGCTGTGCATCTTCATCTGTAGATTGGTGACTTCTCACATATACAAGGTGTCTGGGATGGTGCCCTTTCGTCTGATGGAAGCCTGTGGAAGAAGTGCTGTTATTTACTATGTAGATGATTATCATTTAACCAAGGCTCCAACTGGTGCTGTGGTGGGTCATTCAGGCCAGCGAGGGCAGGGGGTCAGGTAGGGCAAAGAGACTGGGTGGTGCAGGCACAGAAGGTAGAAAGCTGGTGGGGCTTATTTCCCCTGGCTAGGCTATAGGGAGATTCCTGGATAGACAGTTTACCAACGAGTGGTCTTGGGAGCTGAAGAACCTCTTAAAACCATGGGAAAATAAGGTGTTGGCAAAGGAAGGACTGACTGATCAGTGGGCAGAGCGTTCTTAGTTTGGATCACTGGTATGGCTCAGAGCTTCTGGTGAAGACCCTTCTCATCTTAATGGAGAGCTGGAGGCTATTGTGAGTGTGTGAGCTTATGGTGGCAGTCCTGCGACTTTCTATCTTGTCCACTGCAGAATGAAAAGAAGACTGTGAAGATGATGAACCAAAAGGGCCTATTTCGAATTGGCTTCATAGAGGAGCTGAAGGCACAGATCCTTGAAATGAGGTATATTAAAGGGGCGCTCAGCATGTTCGTCCTGCTGCCTCCTTGCTCTGCAGATAACGTGAAGGGCCTGGAAGAGGTAAGTCTTCACTTTTATGTTTCTACAAAATATTTCAGTGTCGATCTTTGGAGAGCAGCCTTATTTACTATCTACCTGCCTGAGGAAGGCTAGCACCTCATCTATCAGAGATATCAGAGAATATATAAGAATCTCAATTCGATGAGATAGTTCTTCTGTATTGGTTTAGAAAAGGACAAAATGCCAAAAATGTTGGATAGGGCTTTCCTCTCCCATCTTATAGCTCTCTGCAGTTGTTCTCCAGACCAAGGAATCTGGACACGGAGTGATATGAGAATTGCTACAAATGAACCAGCTTTTCCTTTCCTCTGAGTAGCCTGACTTCTGGCCTCTTGCTTGGACTATTTTGCTATGGCTCACATAATGACCTGTGAGCTAAACTCTGTTTTTGGGTGCAAGTGCCTTGACAGAGTGGAGATACTGCCACTGGGATAGATTGCTTGTGAAGTGGGAATCGGTGAAGGCTGGGGAGCCTCGGCTCTATGTTGTTCTGTCCCGTGAAGAGGTGGAGACAGAGGAAGAGAGAAATCCCCAGACAGTGATCACAAGAATAGCCATTATTCAAAATGTATTATATGCCAGCACTATGTTAACTACTTCACATACATCATTTTGTTCAATCCTGGCAAGAGCCTAATAGTATTATCTCTGTTTTAAAGAAGAGGGGATTGAACCTCAGAAAGCTAAGGCTTGGCCAAGCTCGCACAACTTGGGTCAACTGAGCTTTGCTGGGCTCCGACACTGTCAGACACCAGAATTGGTATCAAATTGTCCTGTGACTTCTAAAGAGGAAAAGAGATTTGCTTGGGAGAATTTAAATGAGATCAGAGTAGTTTGAGGCTTAGGGAAGGACCTTGAAGATTGTTACTGGTTGTTGAAATAGACTCAAGTCCTTTGAAGTAATTGGGGCATCCTTTGCAGGCTCATAATCTGACCCTAAACATTATTTCCTTCCTTTTGTAGCTTGAAAGGAACATCACTCATGAAAAAATAGTGGCCTGGAGCAGCTCAGAGAATATGTCAGAAGAAACAGTAGCTGTCTCTTTCCCGCAGTTCACCCTGGAAGACAGCTACGATCTCAATTCTATTCTACAGGACATGGGCATCACGGATATCTTTGAGGAAGGGAAGGCTGATCTTACTGGAATTTCTCCAAGTCCCAATTTGTACCTGTCAAAAGTTGTCCATAAAACCTTTGTGGAAGTGGATGAAAACGGCACCCAGGCAGTTGCTGCCAGTGGGGCCGTCGGCATGGAAATGTCCATACCTTCCTGGGTGACGTTTATTGCTGATCACCCTTTCCTCTTTTTCATCAGACACAACAAAACCCAAATGATTCTCTTCTATGGCAGGGTCTGCTCTCCTTGAAAGGAGCACACTATCTAGGACCCGGGAGCTGGAAGAAAGTGGCAGTCTGGTCTCCCCCTGGCATAACATGGGCATTTGCATTCTTGCTGATATCTAAAGCTGACTGAATTCTGTCACAGCTCCAAGCCCCCTTCCTCCGGCCACTGGGCCTGTGCTTGTCCTGATTCTTCTCTCACCCTGTAGCTGACTTTCATCTACCTCCATTAGCATCGAAGTCCCTGGCTCCCTCCCTGACCTCTCACCATACTAAGCTTTCAAGCATGTAATTCACCCTCTGTGACCTGCAGGTCATGTAATTGAGAATGGTACTAACTTTAAGTTCCCTACTTCCTTATAAAGGAATCCTGAAAGTTCAAGTCATTAGACCACTTCTAGGGGAGGATAAATTCAGAAACCACTTTAACATGGGCAGTAGGAGGAAATGTTGAAATGGAATGTGTTTTGGAAACTCAGCTCTATTTCTATGGTAGTTAAAACCCGAGTCGTCGCGGGGCAAGACGCCCTGCCTCTTCCTCTCCCATCTTCTTCTGCTGCATGGAAGATGCCCTGTAAGATGCTTCTCACCGGGGAGAAAAGCTACCCACTGGGGGTGGATTTAAGTGAGAGCTCAAGGACGGAAGCCTGTCCTGACTAGCACTCATTCTGCGCAGATCAGGATATGTTTTGTGAATCTGGCGTTGAACTAGGAGAGTGGCAGTGGATTTAAAAATTAGTCTCAGCTTTCCTTATTGAGTCTCCTAAGCCATCATCACGAAGCACGATCCTCTGTGTCTTCTTCACCCCCTTCCTCCGAGAATTCTCCTCTGAAGTTACCCCTAAATACCCAGCATGTTAGGTGGGGGAAGGGAGCGCTGCCCTCACTGCAGACTGTCAGACTCCCCAACACCCTCTGTCAGCAGTCCGGCCCCATGGACTTTTTCCTCCTGGAGGCCTTATGCCTGGTCACATCCTGAGAGCAGGCCTGGGTTTGGGCATGATACATGTGGAAACCTTTGTCAGGAAGGCCCTTGCTTCATATCAAGCTCTGGTCTATTGAAAGCCGTATGCCTGAGTGTTCAAGACTCCAGAACCTGGGACCTTCGTCCTCTGATAGGTCTGTCTGAATTCTTGATTTCTGCCTTAGCTGAACACTCTGGAATGACTGCTAACAATGTCTAACTCGAGGACGTGGACAGTCGTTCTGTCAAGGTGAATTTCTGGTCTTGGTCGTGGCCCTGTTTCCTTGCCCTGCCCTATGAGCGTCCTCCTCACAGTTGCCACTGGTTGGTTGTTAAGTGTGGCTGTGGCAGTTTTTGCAGAAGGTAGGTTAAGCAGCTGCCATGCCGGCCCCGGTCCCCCCGTTTTCCTCCATATTAATGACTTCTTTGTGCTGTGAGGGACAAGTTCCATGTTCCCCATACAGGGCTCTCATTGTCAAAGGTTGTTTGTGGTATAAAAAATCTCTCATTGATAATGTGAGGCAGCTTGAGGTGGCTCTTCCAAGTCCTTTCCACAGAATGCAGGTCACATGGGTCAAATTTATGTCAGATAATCAAATACATAGTCTCTTCCGTGGTTCTTTTTGGGGTTGACGTTTTGAAGATTCCATGCCGGAGCTGGCATTGCTGTTGGATACTGAGCTGGATAACTAGGACCTATGTGAAGGTTTGGCCTTGTCTGGCATTGCTTATGTTCTTATTCTTTTCCTTGATAAACACATCTTCTCATTTGTATTGGGATCTCTCAGAATTTTAATCACAAAGGGAAAGTTTATCTATTTACAAAAATGAGAGTGAGAGTCTTAAATCTTTCTGTGAATCAGTAAACTTACTCTTTACTAATCTTTTTCAATTGATTAAAATGTTTCTTCTTATTAAATAAAGCACTTTTGTCATTAGTTAAAATGTGTACAGTATTTTATGTGCCAACTGACTTTTTTAGTGACATAAACCTCACCTTAATTTTTTTCATCCCAAAATATAGAAATACGTCATCTATGAAACTAACCATTCACCTCAATTATGTTGGGAAGATACATCTTGTGCCAGAAAATATTTCCCAACTTTCCATCATAATTACATATGAAATTGTAATTATGTAAGATGAAAGCTTGCAATGATGCTAAAATCTAGGAGTGACAGCCAGTGGATCATCAAACGTTTCTTCTTTCTCTAGCCATTTGAAGACTGAATGAAACTCCCCCAATACAATGCACAGGAAGGTGAAGAGAGGTATTGGCGCTTTCCACCCTGGGCAGTTTAGTCTTTACAAGGAGACTATTTTTGGTGGGACAAGGACAGAAAGAACCCTGGTGGCGATGTTGTTGGGTTCATATATTTCATTTGTCCCCTCTGTTTGGAGTGTCAGAGAGTCGGCCATACAGGGAGGACAGTGGAACTACAGTAGATGGAAGCATATGAGAAAGGAAATTATGCTCAAATTTAGGAGCTCTTGACTCTTCATTCTTGCACCAGTGAGACTGACCCTTTAATGTGGCAGCCAGAGGCACAGGGAACATGCAAGTCTGTGCTCTATAAGTGCTAGAAAACCAGCCAGAGCATGCAAATCCGGGGAGTGAACTCCTCCATTTCTAGTGGAAGATTCCTTCCACCCAGCAGCATTGACAGGTAGGACAAATGAGGCAATGTGGATTCCAAAACAACTGATTCATTTACTCCTACTACAGACATTCTGGGGAGATAACCACCAGTGTGTCATACCCAACAGGCTCTCCAGTGCTCTCCAGGTGACAGGCTTTGTATATTCTATTTTATTTCACCCCGGGTGAAACCGGGGTGAATTCAACCCAAGAATTATGGTGTTTCTGAGAAAGCAAACATATTAATTGGCATGAAATTAAGAATCAAGACACAATTAAAGAAAACTTTCTTAACTTGGATAGTCACCTGATTACATGGATTGATTTCCAAGAAAAGTAAGCAAAAATAGACTTGCTAAAAAACTGTAAAAATAAAAGGCTGAGAAAATAACTCTATTAACATTTGGGCAAAAAAGAACATAGCTCACTTAAAAAGGATAAATAATCAGAGGGTCCTCAGACATTCATGTTGTGTTAAATTTCTGAAGACAGGGAAACCTAGTCTACAGGGTTGAAGGGAAAATATATGATTAAAGAATTTCCTGCTCAGTCAAGTTGTAAATGCAACAGAAAATCCTTCCTAGCTGTATTTCTGCACAGGTGAGAATGGTGTGTTTAATCCCCAGCACCGGGCACCATGCTATAAACATCAGAGGACTTGAAATTGGATTCATGTTGCTTTGAGTAGAATCCAATGCAGTCAAAAGCTCCAAAAGTAAAGAAATAAACCAGTAAAAATATGATTTCAACAGACAACCAAAGGAAGAAGAGAAATTCTTAATTTTAAATTCTAATTACATCCCCAAATTGTTGGCAGCTGTGACTCTTTCCTTTGGCACTATTTTTTTTTTTTTTAAATGTTGAGTCCAGGCATGGGATAAGTCTCAATATCCAGAATAAGACTACAGTCATGAAATCTCTGAATTGGAACAGTAATAGTTCTGGATATTTGTTGAGTACGTACATGTACTGGTATTGATCAAAGACTTTTATACGTGCTAGCCCATTTAATCTTCTCAGTCTTCCTCAGAGGTAGGTTATTATTAGTACCTATAGTTAACAGATGAGGAAACTGAGGCACAAAGTCACCCAGGTTGCAGATGATTGATCTAGGAGTTTGAACCTGGCAGTCTGGCTGGATATCATACAGTGAATTTCTGATCACTACCCTATACATCCTCCCAAGTAGAAATAAGAACCTAATAGGCCATTTACTTCCATTTCTTTATTTTGCAAGCATGCCCTTTGAGGGTCAAGGACTCACTCAAGATAAAGTTGTGGGTTCCAGTGTGCTTTGAGCTTTGAGGTGGAGAATTCAGGGGGCAAAAGGAGTATGGGGTGGGCAATCATGGTGGTGGAGGGTTCAGGTTCTTCAGTAGGAGCCACATGGCAGGGGTGCATCTTCCTGTCCTGGCCCTGTGCCCAGCAGTGAGGGACAGAGTTCTTTGCCCCCTGGCTGTAAGTGAGTTCATGTGAGTCACAGAGGCATAGCCATGCCACCATGTGACTGCTACAGTCACAGAGGAGGACAAATTCCCACTCAAGGGGTATAAGCTGCTAGCATCCTTGCCAGGAAGCACATACAGAGCCTCCCACTCCTAAATTGCTAAAGCAGGCAGGGGAAACTGCAAAACAGCTCATAGACAGTCTAATAGGGAATCTCAAAGACAGAGACAAGTGTATGACATAGATTACCAAATGTCTGAAGGAAATAACCACATGAAAGAAAGAAATCAAACTTAACAGAGTTAATAGATTAGATAAACTACATTAAGACATATAAATAAGAATAGGAAGTTAGGATATTCATTTAGAGCTCCTGGAAATAAGCTTAATTATTACAAAAGTCAGTAAGTCGACTGAATAGTAGAATGAACACAGCCAAAGAGTCAGCTGGAAGACTGAACCTTGAAATTCTACAAAACGTAGAAGAGACAGAAAAAGAGGTAGAAAGTACTTAAAAATGTTAAGAGCCATGCCAGGTAGTTAAAGAAGCTCCAACATTCATCAGAGAGCTTTTCAGGAACAGAGAGAGCTGAGGGGAGGAAGTACTCAAAGATATAAGAAAAGAAAAATACATAGAATAAAAAAAAATTCATGCCGATCGAAAGGGCCCATTGAGAGCCTACACTTCCACACTGTGGCCAAATTATTGAAGATCAGGGAAAGAGGGGAGTATTCTAAAAGCTTTGTGAGACAAAAGAAATAGAATTCAGAAAATGTAATGAGAATCAGATTGAGTTTAGGTTTCTCTTTGGCCCTGCAAGAAGACACAGGGCAATATTGTTTTTGGCTCATTTTTATATTTTATTTTAGTTTAGTTTAGTTTTAACTCACAAAGCAGGTTTATTATGACAAAATTTACAATGAAAGAAATCTGGGGGGGGCGGAGCAAGATGGCGGAGGAGCAGGGGACCTGGATTTCCTCTGGTCCCAGGAATTCAGCTGGATAGGGATCAAACCATTCTGAACACCTACGAACTCAACGGGAGATCAAAGAAGAGAGTAGCAACAACTCTCTGAACTGAAAAGCGACCACTCTCTGGAGGGTAGGACGTGCGGAGAAGTGAATCTGAGGCAATATTCGGGAAGATAGACGGCAGGGGAGGGGCCTCCTTCGGCTGCTACTGGCAAGTGCTAGAGCCGCGGAGCGCAAAATCGGACCTTTTAGAAGTTGGCTCCGCTGAGGGACGTTGCTGCAGTGGCTAAGCGGGGGGTGGAACCCTCGCGGGACAGTGTGGTCTCAGG